TTTTTAAGGCCAAACAAATTTCATCATACACCACAAAAACAGATTCATATTACTGCACACCACCACAAATGACCTAATCTGAGGAAAAAATAGAAATCCATTACACCCTGTCACTCCAGTGTGTCTAAAACTGACCTTATGGTGAAAGAAAGGAAACTAAAGCAGTTGTTTCAAATAATTTGCACAAGGGTATATATATATATGTGTGTGTGTGTGTGTTTTGTATAGAGAAAAACGTTAAAATTCGCTTCCTTTCTGCCATGCAACGATGGCCTAGAGGTAAGATATCTGACTGATGTCAAATCATTTGGGTTTCGATCCCAGTTTGAAGCAATTGGACATCTAGCCACACTGACGAGCTGTGATACACCAAAACAGTCTGTCTCTGGATAACTACCCTCTCCCCTCTCTCTCTCTCTCTCTATATATATATATATATATATATATATATATATATATATATATTATTGAGCTCTCTTTGTGGATCAGTTTTAATATTTTATATTATTAGGATTCACTTGGATTACATACCAATGGATTATTACCCACCTATATACATACATATATATATATGAGAAAATGGTATGTAAACTCTATATAAGAAACAAATGAGGGATAATTAAATGGCAAAACAGAAAGATTCCTATTTGATGCATTTCATCCTACTTCAGATTAATGAATGGTAATGATGGGATTAGCCATTTTCATACAGTAAACATTTGACATTCATTGACCCAGTACTTAGCAATACTGCTGGTTGAAATTTACAAAGCCTTTATATTAAAACAGTTTTTTCAGGAAAATAGATTTCTCAAATCCACTGTTATCACTCTTTCTAGTATTGATAACAGTTTTCTTTCTAACCTTTTGCTTATGGAAAGTCAACATTTTGATTATATCATTATTTTCCCAACTATTTCCATGTTACCCATTTTATTTGTTCCACCTTTTGGAAATGTTCATGTGATGTAGTTCCTGTTATTTAGTAAAGTTCTTTGTCAGTAAAGTTATTCTTTAGTACCAGTCAATAGGATCTGATGAAAGATTGTATTCTTTAAAACCTAAAGGATTCAATTGTTTGAAATCATTATTAATCACTGATCTGTAAAAATGGATGAATGTAGCTGTTAGTTTAAATATATCTGAATAAGTGAGATGCCATACATGTGTGAGAAAATGAAATTAAATAAAATAATCATAAAGAGTAAAAAAAAAGAAATACATTTTCCCATGATGTTAGTAATAAAGGAACCGAAAAAGGTTTTTGCTTATCCGTGCAATTTTATGACCTCATTGCTAGAAAGGAAAGAACTTTTCTCTTTCCACTTTCCAATGCAGAGCATTTGGATGTGTTTTGCAGCTCCACTCATGATGTAAGAAATTTGGTCATTCCAACTCAACACAAAGCTGACTTGAGCTTGACCATTTTAACCATTTTATCTTTACTTAACCTAACTTACTTCTGGATAGAAAAAAGATAACAAACATATCCAAGAGACATTGAGAACTTTGTTTCCCTACAGTTTCTATATAAAATGAATAAACTGTCCATGGTAGAAACTCAAGTTTTTGCATGCTTCTTCTTTAAGTGTTAACATGTGAACACACACACTTACAATACATTAACGCACAAACAACTATTAAATTCCATACATAATGTTAATCCTCAATGAATAAATTTTATCTGCAATAAGGTAATCCTCCTTTTAGTCTGAATATTGACAAGTGAACAATTGAAACATTTTCAATATGGCTGCTAGCATTTTATAGAAGCCACCACCTGGTGGCATTGAATAACAACCAAAGGGCAATAACTACAATATTAACATTTCCTCCATTTCTTCAGAGGTATGCAGAGTACATAATAACACAGGCAACAAAGAAAGTCAAATATTCTCTGGGCCCCATAATATATCCAAGAAACTTGGATGAGGCAACACATTACCTGGTAATTGAGTCAGCCATTTGGCGACTTGTGGGCACCCATTTAATGTCAGACAATTCTTTACTGATCAACATGTCATGCAAGATAGCCAACTCAATCCTAAGTCTTTTATCCAGAATCTGAGTGCTAGAATGGGCTGATTCAAAAACACCTGAATTATTTGTTTTGCATACAACAGGGACATTATTCACAACATCCTCAAAATCCAAGAATTCAATGAAGGAATTTCCTGTAGTATATACATGTATCAGCCATGTCAACCATAGCCAGTGTCTTGGCAGCTTGTATACTCTTCATAACTCTCTTTATATGTCTTGACTGGCTGCAAATAAGCATATAATTGCTGTTACTACCGACAAGAAATATTATATACCCTCCCTGGGAAACTCCATCACTTAGATTAGCAAAGGAAGCATCACTGTAGGCAACTATTTTTAGCTGTCTTTAATCTCCCAGATCTTTTATAGTCAGCTGAGCTTTCTGTGTTTTTTATGGATTTATTTACTTGTCTAATACTTTCAGTTTTCCTTTCTTTGAGAAAGGAACTGGAGTCACATACATTAAAGCTCAAATCTGGTCTGGTCTGGTCTGGGTGGCTGTTATACTAAAACACACCTATTCTATTGTTAATAGACTCTCCCACATATAATAAGTAGTAGTAGTAGCAGTTGCCAGGGGGCTCAGTGAGTTGGTGAGTCAGTCAATGTCGGACATTAAAGTATCAACCACCACAACTAGATTGCTGCGTCATTAACTATTATTTCAAGTTCCTAACGTTTTGTACGTCGAACCTTTTTAGGACCTCCACTGTAAAACTACTCTATAACAGTGGCCAACCAACTTAATTGACCAATAACCCTCTTGACAATGGTATACTCATACTCTTCATTATGTTTATTTTGGATGGGTATGGATTTTAGGTATGCAGTATAGTTAGTCATTCTGACTAATTTGCACTAAGTTATTCTTTTGAGATATTTCTTTCAGATTCAAAGCCACAGTTTCATTAAATTCAGTTACCATAGGAAGACTGACAACAGGTCTGGGAGGGTTTTTTTTGAATTTGATGCAAGTTTTACACCTCTCTGATACAGATTTAATTTCATGTTCAAATTTATGATTATTTGTATTTGCATTGTGAATCAACTTTATGAGTTTTTGAGGGATTAGGATGACCAAACTGCTTATGCAATTTGTTGGCTATTTTATTTGTACCTTTCATGTTTGAGAAGATGATCAAATTACAGGTAGCATTATCTAGTTGTCTATAGAGAGGTAAAGAATAATAGCCTGAAGTGGTGAGTTGCAGTTTAATTATTCTTTTTCCAACAGTCAGAGCGTCATTTTGAAGATTCAGAATCATGTTTGCTTTTTTTCATTGAATTTCTGCTTAAAAGTAAAGGTATTTCATATCAGTAGTTATTTCTGACTTTAAATTTCCAATCAAACAGGGAATAGCCAATTTCTTAGCAAACTCTACTTTAGCACCATCACCAAAAGAAAATGTGGAAGTAGAGGTTTGTTCCACAATTAAAGGCCACTGCTAATCACGTAATGAATTCAAATATTCTTGAAGCCAACCTTTACCACAGACAGTGGTCAAACACCCTGTGTCCAAAATAGCACAATCCTTCGCATTGTTCACAAGGGATTGCAAACTTGTACTATTAGTATGACCCATAAACAAAGACAACAGAACACTTTCTGATCTTTGATCACTGTTCTCATATGCATATTAATGCGTTCAATGAAATTGTGAATCACATATGACACCTCTTGAAACCTTCCCACTGTAGCCCATAGGATTTAATTTATAGCCATGTGACTGTATAGGATGTTGCCTGGTTGGGTGGCATGAGTATATGGTCGGCTTCATCCATGTCTGAATCTATCTGTAAAAAGGGTGTCCTGACTTTGCATTTTTATCTCAGGCTAAGGGATTCATTTATCAATATTTGAAGGAGTAACTGAATGGCCCAAAATATGTTTAACAGTCTCCTTCATATTTTTGAAAGACACTTCCTTCAATGCTGACATTATTAAGTACGCATCCTTCTCAGGAATGTTTACAAATGAAAGGAACATAAATGCTATTACTGGGTCTGGAAGAGTCATGTTTTCCTGAGTAAACTTAAAGGAGATGTGGTCAAAATCAATCTTTATTTCTCTTTCTGCTGCTCTACACAAATTGTACAAATTATTAAAGGCAACAAATCACTGGCTCCCTTTATCTGGCAGAAATAAATTCATCTTGTTTTTGGATTATAGTGTCTACATCTGTTTCCGTTTCCAATTCTTTACTCTCTATCTCAGAAGAGGCAGCTCTGGCCTTTCCAATTAAAGATAGGTAAATGGCTAAAGCCTGTTTTGGTTCTGGAAGGTCTGTTAACCTACTCCAAATATGTAAGCTTTTCTTCCATTGTTCATAGGAAAATTCATTGTCTAGTCTTGAAGGCCATTTCAAAGAACATGTATTAGAATTATCCAGTCTTACATAAATTACAAGTCTTAGAATCACAAAACTTTAAAAGTAACAGAAAAATAGAAAAGGAAATTCACTTAATTTTTGTTGCAGATCAACTACACTGTGCTAGCATCTGGTAGTCCTCAATAAATCAATTGAATCTGCAATAAGGTAATCTTCCTCTTAGTCTGAATATTGACAACTGAACAAGTGAAACATTTTCAATATGGCTGAAAGCATTTTAAAGAAATCACCACCTGGTGGCACTAAACAAAAACCAAAAGGCAAAGGCAGTAACTACAACATTAACACATGGTATCTATGATTGATTCATTCATTTTTATGGATTATCAACCCTTTGCAAGTTATTTAAAGCCAGAAAATATTTTCAGATTGTAAGAATTTTTTTTTTTGAGATAAGGGTTTAGTGATACAAGTCTTACTAATTAACCCATAGTTGGGGGTGGAGAGGTAGATTCATACCTTTGTCAAGGGTGTTTGCATGTAAATGAATTTAACAAACCCAACAGGAATTGGCTTTCCAATTAACAATTCCAAGCCATTATCTATTACACCACCTGCACATCCAAGCTTACAGCACCTGGTATTCCCAAACAGTCATGCATCTAGGTACTGACCAGGCTTGATATTGCTTAACTTCGGTGATCATCCGGGAACAAGTGTTTCAACATGATGTGACCATAACCCCCTTACATGACACCAAGAACTGAGAGAGGCCATTTAGAAAAAATGATTGAGTTCTCAAGTTTGAAGCATCTTGCAGTGTTGGACAAAACTACTCCAAGTGAAGCCTATCCAAGGTTTACTTTCCTTATAATATTCAAATTGTCTGTCTTTATATCTACCTTTTTTGTGATTTTGTATTTAAATTTATGTCAATAAATGCAATAAATACAATAAACTGTATACAGCAGTGCTTCCCAACTGATTTTGGGCCGTGCCCCACTTTGGTATTTCTTAAATTCTAGTGACCCCCCCCCCTGTAATATTTAATTCTTACATGTATGCCAATTACATATGGATGTACATACACATAAAATATTTTTATGTATGCATACTGTATATGCATCGTATGTATTAACACTCACTCAGACTCACTAGAAAACAATTCACTGTTAATAACTCATTCTCAAATTGCCCCTTTATTCTGTTGGTGTAGTAAGTAGAAGGGTGCACATCCTATGCATGCCGCATTAAAATATTAATTCACAAAACATTAGGAAACACTGGTATACAGTATATAGCTTATTTAACATCAACTGGCAATAAATTCTTTCAAACTCCTGGCCTTGTGTCAGAATTAGGTTAATATCAATAAAGATGAAAACATTGAAATTCAAAGAATTAAGTAGGCAGAAAAGGCTTAAAAAAATGTTAAAAAATCTCAGAGATGTACAAATAATCATTTGTCTGCTTTCCCCACATTTTCATTTGTCTTCTTCCTTCACATTTCATATTTCATTTGTCTTCTTCCTTCATATTTCATATGTCTTCTTCCTTCACATTTCATATTTCATTCGTCTGCTTCCTTCTCATTTCACATTTTCATTTGTCTGCTTCCTTCTCATTTCACATTTTCATTTGTCTGCTTCTTTCACATTTTCATTTGAGTGCTTTTGCAGGTTATTGAAAGAAAATATTTTCAGACTGTAACAATATTTCAGAGATAATAATGATTTACTGATACATGTCCTACTAATTAACCCATAGATTGGGGTAGTGATTCTCAATCACCATGCTGTAGCACACTAAATATTGAAGAATTTGTGAAGAAGCACCAGGCCCAGGTTCCACACAAAATAAACTGTACAAATAGTCGAATGGAAACATTGAAATAAAGTAAGTTCATATTTGTGCATGTATTTTATTAAGTCTATGGTTTTATTTAATAATACTTAAATGTATACCTTTTAAAAATTTTGTTAAGTGTGCCGTGATATTTTCTTTTGCTTCTAGGTGTGCCATTGCTTAAAGAAAAGTTGAGAAACACTGGACTCTTCAAAGTGGTGGATTCATAACTTTCGCAAGGGTATTTGCACATAAGTGCATATAAATATCCTGACTGGAATTGGAACATGACTCTCCAAGAGTTCACAGAGAAGAAAAAGCATAGACCAACTATGTGTGTGCATATATGCGTGTGTGAAAATGCATATGTGTGTATTTCAAACAGTGGTTTTATATGTATATTAAGAGAAAGAGTGTGTGCACATATGAAGATAGATCAGTAAGTCTGTAGCCTGACATACAGTAATTTTCACTATAATATTCAGTTTATGTGATTCACTGGTAAACATTTAATTAAGTGCATTAACAAGGAAGGAGATTATGTTAAAAATTAAATATTTATTTCATCATAAAGCTACTGCAGACTTAAGAATACAACTGTGTTTGGGTGTGTGTGTCAGAGTGTGTGTGTGTATGTGTCACAGAGTTTGTGTGTATGTGTGTGTATGTCAAAACACATGTGTGTACTGAAGAAGAGTGCATATGCACATTATTCTGTTTGCAACAGAGTATGCATGTGTGTATATCAGAGTGTGTGTGTGTGTGTGTGTGTGTGTGTGTGTGTCAGATGGAGTATATATATATTTAAATGCATAATGATGGATATGAAAGTCTGTAGCCTAACACGTAGTAATTACTTGATGCTTGAATCTAAAATTTTTACTGTATATTTATTTAGTTTATGTGATTGAGTGGTGAACATCAAATTAAGTGCATTGACAAGGAAGGAAATTATGTTGAAAAACAAATGTTTTGTAAATATTTTTTTCCAACATAACACTGATGCAAACTTATAAAAGTAATTCTATGTTTGTTGTGTGTATAAATATATATAATAGAGAAATAGCATTTTTCTACCCATTTCATTTCAGCAGAGGCTGCCTTGACCTACTTACATGATATGCTTAGGCCTTCGTAAACAAACTTTTCAAAAATAAGGGGAAATAATTTAAGCGACACTGAAAGAGGAGAGAGGTATACAAGGCTGGAAAAGCTAAATGAAATTCTATTCCTAACGCTTTATTCCTCCTACTACTAAAAATTTTCATTTTCCATTTTTTTTTTTGTTTTTTTTTTTCACTCCCCTCCTGGGTCAACAATTTCTCTATTATTCAGGTTCATAAACTCGTATAACAGACCATCCACATCAGGAGTCACTTTTCAAAATCTTACCTCTTATCTGATAATTAAAAAAAACAAACTTGTTCATGAGTTTTTCTCAGACTTTTATATCTAAACAGTCTTTAAGAGTGTGTAAAATGTGAAAACATTGCAATATTATAAAAGCAAACAGGCAAAAAATTTAACTGTTGCTATGATGCTGTATGGCTGTTATATTTTCATCTACTCTTTTTCTAATGAACCTACGATCATCATCAACTAGCACCCCCACCACACCAGTGCCTGTTGATGCCAATGCTAATCTGTATAATTGCTATCCAGTGGGATCATTCATGTAGTTGTTGAAATCTGTCAAGTTTTGTTTTACAAACATGGTATAAATTGAAACAAATATGGATTAACATATATTAATAGAATGGGAATTAACAAACTAACAGGAAAATACTACTTGTATCTGGACTATTGTCCTCATCTTTGTTGTTATTATCAGAACATTTCAACTGTTGCTCCCTCCAGCCTTCCTCAAGTGTATATTGACCTGGGAATTCTACAAGAAATTCTAAGTTCAGTTCAGAATTCCCTGTAGGTTAGTCCAAACAATATATACTTGAAGAAGATGTCAGTGTTTGAAAAAGATGCCCCATTATGTCTACTGATCTGTGCATTTATATATATAAAGTTTGAAATAATAAAAATGTCAGACTAAAAATAGTTCTTTAGAAAATGTACATTTGTGTGGGTCTGTGTTTTCATACGCTATTCAGCAAGTCAATGTTTTTATAAAGAAGTGGTATTAACTTTCACACAAATGCCTTTGGGAAAGGCATGAATATTTTTCTCCCTTCCAGCTATTGGTTAAATAGCAGGTTAGAAAGAGTTCTTTAACCTTGAGTGGCAACCAGTCTAAAAGAATAAAAAATTCTGAATTTCAAACCATAGAGAAGGCATCGGGAAAACACTCAAGATGCATAGCAATTCACTGATAATAAAGAAAAGGAATGTGTGGAGAGCCATTATTGCCCATATTCTGAAGGGACATAACATAAAAAAAGCACTTGACGTTGACTTGAATCACTAAATCAAGTATGACAGTCAACATTCAATGGATCATCAATTTATGAATACTCACCAAGTTTTTTTTTGTTTTTTTTTAAGCATTTCACCCCAAGCAAAGCGGGAGTGCCACTAGAACGCAAAGGATTACAGAGAGCAAAAGGAAAGAAGGGTGTTTGAGGAAAGAATAAAGAGAAGGAAGGGGATCAAGGCATCAGAAGATGTCAGTTGACATTACATTTGAATATTTGAAGATTATAGCTATCAGGGAAACAAATAAGAGGAAGGGAGTTCCACTGTCGGGAAGCGCAAGAGAAGGATCTGTTGGAGTAGAAGAGGTAGCACACTTAAATTCATGCAGTTGGGGCACCAGTGAAAATAGCTCGTCAGAGCAGTTAAGGTAACATCATAACAGCAATGAGGATGGTTTTCACTCTTAGCTACTCAAACTATTCAATAAAGTCTCACCTCAACATATTGGATAAGGTTATGCTACCATACACCCAAAATTATATGGGTCTCTTGCTGACTTTTAAGCAAAATAAATTAAACATGCTGCTCGACAAGAGTAAGACAATTACATTAAAGATAGATGGACTTCAATCCTCTTTGGAACATAGACAAAGCATGAAAATTAAAATCCAACACAATAAACAAAGAAACTCAGATTTCTACAATAATATGACAGAATGGTAGGAAAAAACTCACAGGGCATAATTTTTTTCAAAATGTACCATATTCCATCAGGATGTAGTTGATTATGACTCTCCACAGATTCCTTTTCTTTATTATGTATGAACTGCCATGACTTGGACACAGGCTGTAGCATTGGCTAAAACTAGCACATTTCATTTTTTCACAGGATCCTTTTTGCTCCACATTGTTGTAAACAATTCATTTTTCATGCCTGTGATCATTCTTTTCAAAAATGTTTTTTTTTCATTTCATTTTTGTTTGATCAGAAAATTGTAAATGGAAATGTGGTTTTTTAAATTTCTTTCAGTTAAATCATGAGGTACCCAAACATCATAGTGGATACCAGTGAATATATATATATATATATATATATATATATGTGATAGAGAGAATAGAGAATTAATACAAATATAAAATTTTTCATTTAGCTGATTGGTGTTACCTTCAGCATCTCAACTCTCGAGTTTTGTAGATGAGCCCACCAGCAATCACTCCATGCACTCATCAGAGGATATCAGCAAATGACTGTTTATTTTGTTTTTTCTTAATTTCAAATTCATTACAACACTCCCATGTGATATGTTATGTGTCTCTATTCTCTGGGATGTCCTGTGTCATGTGATTAGATTATTTTTCTTGGTTTTGTTACCAAAAAGCACCTGCTGAAAAAACTCTACAAAATATTGTTCCAATCCAATAACGATGAGTTTAAAATTTGGTATATTTATGAGAGAAGAGCCTTCAAGATTATGACTCAAGCATTTGTAGATATAAACAGTATGGACAGAGAAATCTAAACTGCAT